TTCGCCGTGAGCAATTGAAAGGAAGACCGAGGTTGATCAGTTCTCTCGCATCAAAGCATCGAAGCTAGAATCGTTCTCGCCCTCGCCATCTATACTCCCCCTCCCCCCCCCACCCACCCGTTCCCCACATCCCATCCCCCATTCCCATATACAACAATCCCCGAGCTGCAATGCACATCTCCAACATCAAACCCCAACACACATCCCCCAAGTCCAACAAACAACCCCGATCCCAACTTCAACCCCAAGTCCCCCATCTCCACAGCACCATTCCAGATCGAGAGATCCATTTCACTCGTACCCCTCTTAAACACTCTGCACAGTCTACACAACCGCGCTCCTATGTGAACAGAAACCTTTCTACACGGCTGCTACTGTGCTTGCCTTTCTGCATGTAATGTATTTCAGTGTGTGAGGGAGGTGTCGATGGGATTCCGCTACGGTAGGCCGACTGGATGACAGGATAGCGTGAACGACAAGATAGCAGCACAAGGTAGAAGTGCATGTACAAGTAATGGCCATGTACATATGTAATCCGAGTCCAACATATCCTCAACACAACCACAGACACGCGCATAATGGTGATTGTAGGTGTGAGTTTGACAGACATGTTGGCATGTATACACCCTATCCTACCGTATCCTATCCCACCCTACCCAACCCTACCCCCACGATTCTCGCAATAGATGCAGATTTTGTATCCAATATTATATATCCCACATACAAAAAAAAAGAATAAAAACACACACCTGCCCCGTCTTCCTCTCCCCCGTCCTTTCCCCATCCACCCAACACAAATCCCAACCTACAGTATATCAACCATATACCTCGCACAAAAACCACACTCCCTTTCCCAAACTAAACTGTATTCCACAACCGAGCATCCACATATACGGGGAAACAGGCAGTCCACACAACCCAGTCCGCCCCTCCACCTGGCCCCCCTCCCAAAAAACTCAAAGATCCTAAAATTCAATTCTTCATATTCACCTATCCAAATGCCAAACGAATACCTGAAACACTGGCCCCTCCGTCCTCCTCTCCTTTCTCCAATCGGGAACAGCAAAACGTGACGGCCACAGCAACGGTGACAGTGACAGTGACAACAGGGCCAAAAACTGCAAACGAACACCCACAACGAAAAACCTCAAAAACCCAGCACCTCTTGTCCTTGATGCCATCATACCCAACAACAACCAGCAATCGCAACCCCACCTCCAACAACACCAACTCCTCACCACGAAACAGCTAGATAACAAGGAGACAACACCACCAACACCACCAACAACAACCCAAAACCCCAAAACCTTTGACTCGACTCCCCAACACCGCTATCTCTACGACTCACTTCGTCGTACAACCGACCCAGTGCGCCGCACAAGCACAAACTCTTTGGTGAGTAATGAACTTCTTTCTTTTCCTTCTTTCGCCCATGGAAAACTCTCTGATTCCTTCCTCTCCATCTCTTCTCAACCTATTGAGCTCTTCATCTTTTGATCTCGCGCACACAGCATTGGCAAGGACACGGACCGGCGTGAAGGAGCCCCATCTATCCTCGGCAGCGGCACCCCAGAAGAAATAACCAGACCCGAGAGTTCTGACTACAACGAAAGACAAGAGCAGAGCGAGGTAAAGTGCGCCTTTGCTCGCCATGGACAACATGACGAAGGAGGTGACTCCAACTGGCAGCACGCCGCCACCGACGCCGCGCCAGTCGACGGCCAGAGCATGGCCAGAGCAGCTCAGCACGCGCGCTGCGACACCAGCGCCACGCACCAGTGCAGGCTCCGCATTCGCCACACCAGACAGCACAGGCCGCATGCCCCTTTCTTCATCTGCCAACAATATCGGGGCAAACGGCTTGCCAAACACTCCGTTTGGATCCGGCACCCCGTGCACCCCGTCCACCCCGTCCAGCAGTCCAAGAGTGGCGTGCACGGACAACGGTAGCCTCTTCAACTCCTCTGGAGTACCCACTGGAAAGTGTACAGAGTGTGATAAACGCAACTCAAGTATCATGCGACAATGTCCTGGTTGTGCCTTCAAACTTTGCACGCCGTGCTTTGATAAGAGGCCCAAGGACGGGTTAGAGAGAAAAATACGGCATGGGTTTGCGATGAGCGAGTCTGCTAGTCCAGCAACACCGAGAGCAGCGAGAAGGAAGCCGAGAGATAGTTTTGGCAGTAGTGAGACGCAAATGGGTGACTTGGGCGAAGCGGGTGCGAGTGGTGAAGGCAAGACCAAGGTAAAGGCACGGTCGAAGCTGGAACCTACGCCTAGGAAGCGGGCGGTGAAGAAGCTGAAGACGGCAAAGTTTGTGGAGAGTGAGGATGATGATACATCTTCAGAGGAGTACGATCCAGAGGACGCCCCACTTTCGCCTTCTAAGCGTCCACGTTGCACTCTCACCATGGCAGACCTGCCTTGTGAGCTTCCGCTGCAAGAGCCTTCGGCAAGAAAGCGCCTCATAGCATCGAGTAGCGCGGCTTACCAGACACCTCCTTCTCCTTCCCCAAACCTCGCTACCAATCCTCTGGTTTCAACTGGGGTCCCACGCAGCAATATGAGTATAGACGACTTGATGCGCACCTATGGGGTCAACACCGTCGAAAACCCATATCAAGAACACCTGCTCAGCCGCCACGTACCTGTGGTCTCGAACCCTGAGATCAGGATTCCAGACAAGGTGGCGCGCAACTTCGCGAATCTTCCTACGGCTGCACAGATCCAGCAAAATATCCAAGAGAAGACGTTGAAGAAATTGCAGGAGAAGAGAATCAGGAATGTATCGGCGGCCGTACAGGAGAGTGGCGTTGCACATCTACAAAATCGACGTGTAAGTTAATCAACGCCAGAAAGTGAGGCTCAAAACTAAATCAAAAACAGCAGGCAGCGCCACCAGGTATCAAAGCCTGCACCGTCCGTGAGTTTGTCAAGATGGAGGCTGTCAAGTACCGAGACGACGTCACCATGGATGAGGACGAGAATAAAGCGTTGGCTGGACACCTCGACGCCGAGGCGCTCTCTTGGGGCACCAGGACTTGGCGTGGCCTTTCTGACCAGCGAAAGAATGATTTGCGCCCGGGCTTGAACCTACGTCTTGATCTGCTTGATGAGCCTCCTGTCTCCAAGTCGAGGCTCGCAGGATTACTCAAGGAGGAAGCAGAGAAAAAGTTACGGCGGATGCAAGAGGATCGTGCCTCTTAGGACAGAATCTGAATATTGCTTGGAGGAAGTCGATTGTCCAAATCGGGAGTTGGACCGATCTATATGGGGCTTTTTTCGGCTTGAACAGTGTGTGTCTGTAACACGAGATCAACAGGAACGCCCTGACAGATGTGACTCTGATCCCGTGTACCTATCTATTTCAGTTCGATGTCTCGGTTGCATGCCCAGTTGGATCGGAGTTTGGGAGGGTTGACTGGTTTTACTTTGTTGACTACCTTTTGGTATGGCCGACTGATGTCCAGGGACAAGGGGGGTTAGTGAGTGCACACAGTAGTACCAGAGGTAATACAGAGATGGTTTTCAAGGCGAATGTGACAGACACACCTCGGATGACCAGAGCCCAAATGTTCCTGCGGTTTGACTGTAAAATGAGAAGAGACAGAGTGTAAGACAGAATACGACAAGGAAGAGAGTGTGACATGGGCTGACAAGATGAAATTATGATACTATGTAGCCGCCCATAGGCTCATGATGAACACTAGTACACAAGGAAATGCGTACGCGAAAACCGAGTCCGAGAAGGGAAAGTAAGAGATTATGGGTATCCAAAAGAGGCATGCAGCCAATGCAGGGTAAATCAAGCAATAAAGCGATGGAATAAGCCTTGCCGAAGCAGTGTAGAGGGCGCGTGTAACAGTCGTGGAGACAGACAGGATAGGGCAAGTGAGCATGGCTATCGTTGGCCGAATTGGATGGTGAGCTTGCCCTTGGCTGGCTTGATTTGTTCCAGTTCGTCTTCGCCTTGGTTGCCCACGACGCTCTCGAGCCATGCCGTCTCGTCGTGGTGGGCATTGGCATCCGATGAGGAAGCTGGTCGCGACTTGCGTACTGACTTGAAGCGTTCGTTGAAGAGGTGGGCGTACTCGTCGTGCTTGGTAGGTTGCTCCGTCACTTCGGGGAGAGCGTTGGGTTGGGCGACAGGGATCAGTTGCCTGGCGCAAGGGATGAGCGTCATGTCCACATGTAGAGTAGATGGGAGTTGGTTTGGGTAGTAGTAGTAGTAGTAGGAGGAGGAGGAGGAGTAGGAGGAGTAGGAGGAGTAGGAGGGGGAGGAGGAGTAGCCATCGAAGGCCTGACCCGCAAAGAGGCCTCCCCCCGAAGCCCGGCATGCCCCATGGCCAACCGTTACCCACTTAGAAAGGCACTTACTCACGACTCCCCGCCCACATGCCCTCCCCAGTTTCCCGCGGACGACCGCACTCCCTCTCGAATCCGGTGGGGCCACCTT